TTTCTCCCTCTCCCAGGCCCCAGCTGGGAGGGAGGGCCACAAGGGTCCTGGGTAAGTGCTTCCCCTCCCCACTTGGGGAGATTCCTGGCACACAGTAGGTTCTTAGCAAACATACCCTGTCTCTTCCCTTCTTCCCAGGGCCAGCCTGACCAACATGCTGACACAGCTCCCAGTACCTCCTCCCCTAGTGTGTCCCAGCCTGAAGAGCTGGCTGTCCCCAAAGAACAGCGACACAGGGAGAGCCAGGTGTCCCTTCTCCTGCAGTGCTATCTGCCTAGCAATCACCAGCCTGTGCAAGGAAGGCCCCTGGGGAGGCGGACTGAGCCCAGCCCCCACGGTCCTGCCAGTGCAGACTCAGATGGAATTTCAACCCCAGGCTCGCACCTGCAAGGGGCAGCAGTGCCTCCTTCTAACACGGCCAGGACCCATTTTAGGGTTGTAATGTGCCCAAGGCTCTGCTGGGGCTGAGGACAGAGTCTAGTGGACTCCATGAGGAAGGGGGTGGGTGTCAGGTGAGTATCTCCTCCAATGGAAGTGACACGTCATGGAGACCATGAGATGAATGGGGAAAGGGGGCTGTGAGGAGGGAGAGGGGCAGCAAACCCAGGGCCAGCACCCCAGAGAGACGCCTGTTGGGGATCCTCCCAGGGTCTGTGGTCAGGCCAAGCTGTTGGCACACCCTCAGAGGAGAGACCCATGTACAAGCCCAGCTCCGTGCCTCAGCCTGGTCACGACCCACTTGAGGACACCTGCTTGGTCCTGCTAGGGCCCTGGCTGCTTCCTACCACTGTGCTGGGCTCAGCCATGGCAGCAGGCACTGTCAGGCTGCCCTTCCCCTCTGTCTGCTGGGCTCTGGGACCCCAGCCCCTTCACTTTCTTCCCCTACCCTCCAACACTGCTCTCTGTTCTCGGGCCCTTAACACCTCCCCCGCCAGGCACAAGGCAGGTGTGGCCTCACCATGACCTGGCAGGAGGTGGGGAAGCCCGGAATGCAGAGCTGTGGTGCTGGGCCGGCAGTGGGAGCAGGGACTGGGAAGGAGGGCTGACAGTTGGCAGTACTACTTTGGAAGGACGGCTGGGGGTGAGTGAGTGCTTGGAACAGAGATGGGGCGACAGTTGGCGGTGGCAGCTGGAGTGGCAGTTGGGGCTTGGCAGGGGCACAGGACTGCAGGGCAGTTGGGGTGGGGCAGCCACAGGGTTGGCAGGTAGCCCCTGGCCCAGAGCAGCTCTGGAGGGTGGTCTTGGGGAGGCCTGGGCATGAGGGCAGGGCCAGCTGGCCCTGAACCTGGCCAAGCTATGCCTAGGAGGAGGCCCACCTCACTCCAGCCTGGGTGAGGCACTCTCCCCAGCCCATGGGTGTGGCATTGCTGCAGCCCAAGGCCAACCTCCCATCCACAAGCAGGACCCAGGATGACGTGGAGTGGGCGGTCCCCTGGGCAGCCCAGTATCCTCAGCCCGCAGTGGGTGTCTGCTTCTCCGCCCTGCTCTCTGCCTTTCTCTCTGGGCTTCCAGCAGAGGCCTGGAGAGGACAGGGACAGGTTATGGGCAGTTCCCTGGGAGGGGGCAGGACTCCCAGGGCTGTTGCCATGGGGACGGCTGAGCAACACCACTGGCTGGAGAATAAACAGGCAGGTTCTCTGACCAGTGACTGAGACAAAGAAAGGCACAGAAAACCCTGCTGGAGTGGCTGGGGAAGATGGGGATGGTGAAGGCCCTGGCAATGGCAGAGAGGGTGGGGTGCCCCCCAGGACACTCGGAAGGAAGACAGGAAGGGATATTTGCTGTTTCTTTGTAATTTTCTCTTCCAAAGCTCCTCCCAGTGTGTTCTTCACAAAAGCAGCCCCTGAGAGGAGACAGGCACCTGGCACAGGGCTGCACCCCTCCCTCCTCCTCTGCCCTACTGCAGCCCACAATGGGGGTGGGAGGCAGGCAGCCAGCTGGCGGAGCGTGGCGCAGGGGTCTCTAAGCACAGGTCTGCAGAGATGTATGTGTAGCTTGCCAGCCATGTGACTCTCCCACTGTTGTTGGCTCCTGTGGAGTCAGTCCAGGTCCCCGGGGCCAAGAGGGCACGTTCTGAGGAGCTGGCATCAGCAAGCACACCGGTGGCAAGAGCAGCTTCTACACACTGCCCCACTCCCTGGCTCCTCAGAACGCCTGGCCTGTTGCTGCTCCTTGCAGCTTTGGGGTGTCCCTAGGCAGGACCAAACATGCTCACACAGGTGGCTGGAGTGGCTTTCCTAGATGACCACACCACACAGTAAGGACAAGAGTGATTTGCAGGGCCTTGGCTGCCCATTTGCTTGCCTGTCTTGTCCATCCATTTGTTGAGGGCAGGGACCATGTACAATCCCTGGTGGCACCTCCATCCCTTGCCCTGGAGGCCAGGGTGCCTGGGGCAGAGTGCCTCTGAAGCCCATCACACACACCCATCCCCACCTATTTCCAGACCTGCCTTCAGGGCGGAGCAGCCAGTGTCCATGAGAAGCCCATGGCTGTCAGGCACCAGCAACCAGGGACTGCAGTGAGAGCGGCGATCCAGTCTGGCATCTGTCTGCCTTGAGTCCGGCTCCCAGCAGTGCTGTGGGTGCTGGGCCTGATGAAGGCAGGGTTCCTTGGCCATGCAGCACACTGACCCACCAGAACACACATCTAGGTGGCACACAGTTCAGGTGATGTATCCCCCACCCTGCTGCCCAGTTTTGCTCAGAGGCTGCAGTTGCCATTTTCTGCTTTTGTTTTTAAATATAAAGAAGTTTATTATCTCTCGGAACAACGAAGGTGTGGAAATGGGGTAGCTTTAGGCATAGGTTGATCAGGGCTCTCTTTCTGGGGCTCGATCTTGGTTTTGCCTTTTCAAAGTGTTGACTTTATGTCCACGCTGCTTGACTTGCTGTTGGCTCTTGCAGAGGAAAGTGAAAATCTTGGTCCTTAGTCACTGGTGAAGGGTGCGAATCAGGAGTGGGGTCCCTCTGTCCTGGCTTATCCTAGGACCCAATAAGAGCAGAGAGGCAGCCCTGGCCTGGCAGGTGGAATGGGCCTTGCAGTGGTGAGACAGACCTCATTCTCACCTGCAGGCCTCTTGAGCAATGACTGAACACCAGAATGCTCTGGCAAGGCAGCATCCACTGCTCTACAGTCCTGCATGGAACATGGACATGGCACACAAACACTGTCATCCACCCCACCATTTTGGGAAAAACGGGGTGTCTCTGAGCAAGGAGATGACGTAAGAGGCCTCTCCCTGCTTCACTTCCTCCTATGGGCTCCAACGGAGCTCCAGGTTAGTGGGTAGTGGGGGCTGAGTGACTATCTGCAGACAGTGTCCTCTGCCTCCTCAAAGGGAAGAGGCAGGTGACCAGTCAGAACCTCTTGGAGGCCTAGAGGCAGCCACTTCTCAGGGTGATTGTGCCCAGCCCCCAATTCCTAAGGGCCAGAGACACTTGGGTTCATCCCAAGTGGGTCCTCCAGCAAAGAGGCTGGGGATGGTGTTTCCTGGACCCGCAGTGCCAGCTCAGGCGGCTGGCGAGAGAGGCTGGGGCGGGGGCGTCTGTACAGCCTTCTCCAGGCGCCGCGGAGCAGTGAGGGAGTGTCCCAGCCTTCCATTGCTGGCTGCCAGACCTCGGCTCGCCCTTGCTCTCTCAAGGAGAATTTCCCCCAGCCTGCCCTCCCACTGCCGCCGGGTGAATGCCTCCTTACACATTCAGAGAAAGCCTCCATCATGGCCCGTCGCCTCCCACCTCCCGAGGAATTCCGCGGCGCTGGCCCCGCAGGGAGGCAGGGCGCGGACCGCCGGGAGCTTTGCGATTGGTTGACCTAGCGGAGCTCGACTCCGCTGCGTGGCTGGCCGGCCACAGGCTCACCTCCCTTCCCGCCGTGCTGGGGGGAGGAAGCGAGGTGGCCTTTACCCCCGCGCAGACCAGCCAGGAATGCGGGGCCGAGCTCCCCATTCTGTCCGCCCGAGGGCAGCGGAGGCGAGAGGGGGAGGCGCTGGTCTCACCACGCCACTGGGGGCGGGGGTGGGAAGAGACACATCTGGGGCTGCACAAATCGCGATCGGATTGCCGGCTGGAGAATCCGAGCAAAACCCGGGCCGTTTGCCTTCCGCCCCTTCCCAAGCCCGGCGCCCTACGGGTCGACTACACCACGAAAGGACCTAAGCGCCACTGCTCATAATTGGCCAAAACCCAGCCCCAGTGGCGGGCATAGCCACGTGGCCAGCGCCCCAAGGTGCGCCCACTCCCGGGTGCATCGAGGTCCCTCGATGGTGGGGGCGCGCGGTACCCAGGCTCTCCCGGGCATTGCGCCACCGGCGGCCTGGGAGCGTCTGGGCGTCCTGCGCTCCGAGGCCCGTCTATCCGCCGGTGCTGGCGAGAAAGTCGCGAAGTTTGCCAGATGCGCGCACCACGACGGCGCGTCGGGGTTCGGGGACAACCGGTGACCCGAGGACCAGCGCGCTCCAGGAACAGGCGCGTAAGCAACGCCAGGTGCGCTGTCCCCAGGGCCGGGCGCCCTCGCCCAGC